AAAAAAAAAAAAAAAAAAAATTTTGATACGTGTAAAAAGACGCCATCGAATGGATACATTATAACTGTTTCCAAATGACTGCCCACCAAATGCTAACTTATTTTCAACCAGTAGCAATTTAAATGTTGTTTTTTTTTTTTTGATGCTGCCACTGATACCACAAAGTTTTTTAGAAAATGATTTACAGCATTTAAATTTAATGTTACTGAAAATATAATTTTAATGTTGTAACTTTTCAGAAAACAACACTCTTTTTTTGTTCTTACATAAAGTTTTTTTCGTTTATTGAAAATTGATAAAACCAAAGAATGAATATAGTGTTTTGTTCAGTTATATTTGGTTGAACAACTATTAACACCTCATTACCTTTACTGATTATTTTTTTTTTTAGCCTTTCACAGTAGCACAATTCTTTGATCAAAAGGGACAGCAACAGATCATTGTAACTGATTTTTGATGTATCCATAGTTCAATCGTTTCACTTCGGTTTGCAGTCGTACTTTTTGCACTTTAATTAAATTTCTTGTGTATTAGAAAAAAAATGAACAATAAAAAACCAGAATCATCTTGTTTTTAGCCAGCTAAAAATTGATATTCGTGATACTAGAAAAAAAAAACAGTGATATAATTTAAGCATATTGTGCAGCAGTATTGTCGTCATCTATGACCAATTTAGTATTGTTCAGAACTGTTTTGATAAAAGAACATTGCGTGTAAAATAAGTAGACTGTTTTAATGCTTTTTTTTCGTTCAAAAATCAATTTATCCTCAGAATTCTTATTAACGGCACCAAAAAATCATCTGTAGAACTGTTACTGATAATCAAGTTGATAACTCGTCTAAAATGATATATATTATACATAGTATTTTCATTCAGTTTTTTTGGTATACTTGTTGCATTATTTGAATAACATTCACCTGTCGTTTGTAGAGTTTAAAAATGTGGTCAAAAGCTTTTACAAGAAAAAAATAAAATATATTTGCAGTAAACTGTTGCTTAACTGATAATTTCTATTGTATTTGGTGTTATCAGAAGGAGGTAAAGAAGAAGAAGAAGAAGAAGAAGAAGAAGAAGAAGAAGAAGTGTCAAATATGAACCTGTTCAGATGAATTTTTTTGGTATACCAGCTGCAGTATCGGAATAACATTAACGTTTTTCAGTTGGAAACTTACGTGTATACCGCAGATGGTCAAAAGATTTGAATTGCAAATAGTTGAAGTAAAAATTTAATCAGTTTATTGGCTTTTAAATAAATATAACTAAAGTATTATTAATAATTGTTCCTGTTTTCTGATTCTCTTTTTTTCTTACTGGTCAACAGTTTGTTCAACTTTGTTGGCAGCTGATATATGTATTTAAAATGAATAAACTTTACTGCATTAAAAAAATGACCGCATAAAAATTTTGAT